AATTGTAATATATTTGACAATTTATTTAGCATACAAAAAGCATTTTCTCTTTTCCTTTTTAAAGGCAATAACCAGTAGCATTAAGGGAAAAAAACGTACATGGTAGGTGTTGATTTATTGACCATAAAACACCACTTTCCATTTTTTATAGATCTTTTTTTGTTTGCCTATAATAACCAACTGAGTCTTTTAGTAAGTGATTTTACAGTTTTTGAGTCATATCTAAGTCTCTAAAGGGCTGTTTACCTAAATGATTAACCGGTAAGCACTTAACGTTAGTAGTCAACACGATAATTTATTTTATGGGTAAGATTGTAGTATATCAAAATGATATCATGTGCAACAGTATATATGGTAAACGCTTACCTGGATAAGAGTCGTCACCCTCACTTACCGGATAAGATTCTCTATCCTTATCACCACTCTTACCAGGTAAGATTTTTGAGTCTTGCCATGTAAAGAAAATTGTCCGATTGCCTAAGTATTTTGTTGATTTATACTTTAATTGGCTTTAAAACCATTCTGATCCACTTTTGGTTTTTACTGCATGAACTGTTTTGGGCTTATTTTAGACTTGACTTGGTGGCCAAGTTTCCTACCATTATATAAACATTTGGAAGTCTTCACTTTATTTACCACAAAACTTACACTTGGGATAATTTTGCTACTTATAATTTAGTTACTTGCTTTCTAGTATTATTGTCTTAAAAACTCTTCCAAACCCGAAGCCTTAGCCTTAGCCTTGTTCAAATCATTCTCAATTCCAAGTACATTAAATCCGTTGCATGATCAATTTTGCAATTTACTTTCAGTCATTTACATTTCTGAACAATTTACTTTCTGTATTCACTTTGAAATTTGATAACTTATGCAACAAAATTCCCTTTTAGACTTTAATACTCGAAGTTTACATTTTGTATTTTCCATCTATGTTATTTACTTTACAATCTTTACATCTTTCATAAGAAAAATCCAAACAACGATGGGCTAAACGTCTTAGCTTGGGGTGTAAGAAAATCTTAAGACCAAAACCAATATGAAATTGGAAAGGTGTAATAACTCGGTAAGCTTATTTTCTTGGTTTAAATTTATTAATGGTTTGAGGTCAAGGTGGATGCTTCAAGTCAGGAATTGGAGTCGGATATGAGGTCCAAATTTCCACATTTATTCGCCGATGAAATTTCGGAAATAAAATTCATTTAAAGGGGAGATATTGTAATACTCTTAACCCTTTACTTTAATCATCATAAAAGTCCAGAGGTGTGGTTGTAAACTTCCTTGTTTAAGGGACTGGACTAGTAATTAAGGGAGTAAACCTTTCTCTCATGCTTGAGGTCAACGGTTTTTGGGATCTAAATCCTAGATTCATGATTGATAGATAGGTTTGGATGGACTAATCCACGAATTGTAGTTATATTGATGTCATAAATTAGTTTTGGTTATCGAATATGTTGATTCTATGGTTTTTAGACTTTAAAATCGTTTTCGGAAGGTTGGCGCATGAATGGCCATTGGGATTTTGGTTCAGAACTTGTGCAGCACAAACAGGCGAAAATGTGGTTTCTATGCTACTGGGGTTGCATTGAAGTCACATTTAGCACTGTTTGTCATTTCTCGTCCAATCCCATATAGCAAACACAACCTGACAGGAGTGTGTGTTCATTATTGCTTCGTTTGTTTCGGTTATTCCTGATTAGCTTTTATAATTATGTCGTCAATGATAATAAATTCCTGTACATATTATTTAGGAGATGGAATGTGCAACTTTTAAAGAATCAACCGTATGCATAAAAGCATCAAGGATGAAAGTTGGAAAAGCAAGAATAAATCCCAAGGAGAGTAGGGTACCTCTTACTTCCGAAAATCACACTTGGGTCTGACAAGAAGCAAAAGGCCGACTTCTATCCGATGGCGAAAATGACATACGTAAAATCATAATTGTTACAAGGGTAAAATGCGCCGAAATAACAACCTGCTTTATAAATTTCTTTATTATAACATTATACTTTCAGTTTTTCTTATTACAATAATGTACTTTCAAAATATTTTTTATCAAGGCATCGCACTTTCAAAAATTTACTCGTTATACAATTGGGTAACCTTTTATTACCCGTTATACCATGTTTTTTTTGCCATCTCATCATCCACGTATGTTGTCTACATGTATGATAGTGCTGACATGACATTTTTTATTATAACATTGTATTTTCAAAATTATATTATTATAACATCACCAATTTCTATTACAGTATTGTACTTTTAATTTTAATGTTTTTATCGTTAAGACATTGTAAATATAATCAAATATGTTTACTAAAAATTATAATATCATAAATTAAATATGTTTATAGAAAATCATTATTTCACGAATAAAAATATTCATAAAAAACCATTCGTTTATCGAGTTCATCGTAAATTTCATGGGTTGCTTTGTAATGCCAAAAATTAAACAAGTGAAACATCTTTTAAAAAAACTCCATCCTATTCACATTCGTCTAACAATGATATTTAAACAAATGACCGCCTTGTCACAACTACTACCTTCTTCATCTTTCTCAACAGTATTTTTCCGTAGGTTTTCAAAGTTATCATTTCACTTGGCCTCCTTTTCTTCAGGATGAGCTTTGGTCGTGATTCCACTTGAGATGGTTCCTGTTCAAATTAGTATGAAATTGATGTATAAAATCAGTATGAAACTCGAAGATTTCACATTACCTTTTTAACACTCCTTTGTGAATCTCGTTCCACCTCGTATACCCCCTTCACTGCTTTGTCTACAAAAATTAGTCATAAACCTGAAGAAGAATAACAACAATCACATCAAACAGTGAGATGAATAATGTCAAATAAACAACCACTACAGAAACACAAACATTTAAGTTTCATTAAACCACAGATTTTGCTGGATGGGATGGGAGTGAGTAATAGCAAGACCAGCAAGACATTTTAAAATTATCATTAAACCAAGACTTGAGATAGTGTTGATGAAAATATGGAAAAAGAAATTAGATTAAAAAAAAAAAAAATATGACATGTAAGTTATCTCATGTGTGACAAGTTATCATATGTGGTTTCCAAGTTATTTTAAGTTTGACATGTCAACAAAGAAAAACTTGTTCAAAAGGTAACAGGTTATACGATGCTATAACGAGTAAATTTTTGAAAGTAGGATGTCCTGATAAAAAAAATTTTGATGGTGCATTTTTGTAATAAGGAAAACTGAAAGTAGAATGTTATAATAAGAAAATTTGTAAAAATAGGTTGCTATTTTACGCATTTTACCCTTGTTATAATAGTAGAAACCTCTGTTATTTGTTATATTTATCGTCTTGTTTTAAGAATTGTTTCTTTTACCGTCATTTTTCTTTGCAATTGCACTAGATTAAGTTATGTCACTCAAGTGTGTGTTAATTGGATGATGAACAAAAGACTATTGCTTTTTGGGGTTGTTTCACCAAACGCTTGTGCGTAAGTGTTTATCGGGTTTCAATTACTTTATCTGGTGAGCATGTCAAAGACCAAGAAACTTATCCGATAAGATGCATATCAAGGACCAAGAATCTTATCCGGTGAGGGTGGTTACTCTTACCGGGTAAGAGACGTTTATCAACAATTTTAGGGCCGTTTACCTAAACACCTATCCAGTAAGCGCTTACCAGTAAAATTCAACATTATCGTTTATTTACCAGGTTTAAAATTTTACTCCATCAAAATGGAACTGTATGTAACAATTTACCCGGTAAGCGCTAATCGTGATACGAGTCGTCGCTCCCACTTACTGGGCAAGACTTTCGATTCTTGCCTTTGCTTTTACTAGGTAAGATTCTTGGTTCTTGCAGCCTTGCTATATTCATCCGGTTGGTAAGTGCTTACCCAGGTAAACGTTTGGTAAATGACCCCTTATTGTATCATTTTGATAACTCTTATTCAGTAAACATTTACCCGTTTAACTTTAATAGACAACCCCTAGTATATATTTAGCATCTAATCAAATCCCTAGAGGCAGGAATACATAAAAGTAAAGTTGAAGAGGTTGTATGTCCAAAGTAACAACCAAGCTTTTGCATCAAAACTTTGGCAAGTGGTTTGTAGCATCAAAGCACCTTAACCAAAACTATGCCAATAAGACATGGAAAAGTGGAATGGCATTGGTTCTCTGGTACAATAATTACTGAATCTAAATCACTTCCAACATCTCATCTCATCTCATTTTCTTTTCTAGAGATTTGTTTTTTTTCCATGTCGGACAAATATAGTTAACACTTTCATTTATTTTATCGGATAAGATTTTAGTCAATTAAAACAATATTGTATGCAACATTTTTTTTTCTAGGTAAACGTTTATCAGATAAGACCCTCGGTCATTGTCATCATTTTTACCAGATAAAATTATCAATCTTTGTCACCGCTTTTACCAGATAAGATTATCAAACATTATTAATCATGGTCATGTTTCTATGATAAAATAAATTGACTTGGTAGACACTTATCAGATAAGCGTTTAGTAAATTTATTTCAAAACCCTCGTTTATAGAGGGGAAAAAATGGTTTATTGAAAAACTATTTGACTAACGTTTCAATAAGGTTTAGGAGCTTTTTGCCAATTTCTTCCAATTATACATCTGATTAGTATTAATTATTAATAAATATTGATTTGTTTTTATTTTAAATTATTCATTAATATTAATTATTAATTTATTTTTATTTTAATTATTCATTAATATTAATTATTATTTATTTAGATTTATCATTAATCTTGTCAATTTCTTCCAATTCTATTAATCAATACATTATATTATCTAATTTTCTTATATTAATTTTAATATATTTTATTATTAATAATTTGTGTTAAATATTTTATGAAATATAATAAAATAACATAAATTAACATGTTATTTTTATTCATATAAAATTTCAAACTAAATAGTAAATATAATCAATTTATTCGTTTTTCATCCCTCTTTGCTTATAAATATGCCCTTCACTCTCTACCATATCTTATCATTCAAAACCTTAATTAAAACTACATGGCCTCTGCTCAGGTGTTCTCTCATCTCATCTTACTTACAATATACTTTGAGGTGTTTAAGATTGCTTATTTGAAACAACTTATGTTTTTCTATAAAAGTCATTGTCAATTTTCTTATAAATTAGAAGACTTTAACTTTTTCAAAAACTTCTTATTACTGGTTTGGGCCCGGTATAAGTTGTTTATCCAAACACCCAAAAGTACTTATTATCGGTACCACACCGGAATAAGTCAATAAATTGTTTTTATAAGCAATCCAAACACCCTCTTCATAATCAATATTTTGTATCTTAATTGCAATTAATTTTTATGAGATGCAAATACGTAGGTTGATGCTGTACACGTGGAAGATCTCACCAAACCTTCCGAAGAAACAACACTTGGATCTGCCACCATGGAAGGATCAGCAAAGCCTCCTGCACCTCACAACATCGAATCACCCTGCGATGAACACCCAGAAGACGTTGATGAATTGGGCAAAGAGGATGAATTGAACGACGAAGAGGATCAAAAAGGTGCAGCACCACAAATAATCGAAGACCAAGATGACGATGACGATGATGAGGATGATGAAGAACAAGTCGCCAAATCTGCCGTTAGAGCCACTGATTTCTCGGAGGAAGAAGGCGACGACGATGTTTGAATGGTCCCGCTGAACAACTAGTACTCAATTTGACACCGTTTTAGCTTCGGTTTTAAAAGTTTGAATTAGCAACCGGGTCGGTTTTAACTTGGTTAACTTATCTATCCATTATATTTACGAAGATATCTGTTTTTTTCTTAGTGCTTTAAATAAACTGAACGTTCACTGAATCATTCGTAAACTATTAATTGGGTAATTCATTTATTTAGTAAATGAAGAATCATAAACATGATTGTTGGTTTATTTAGTTAAATGAATGAGCACTCGTTTGTTCAAGTACGTTCATGAACCAGATAGGACTTAAAGGGTTTTAAACTGACATGAGTAGTTTAATGTATTCTCAATCTTGTCTCTGAATTCTACTCCACCTATTTTGGTGGGACAAAAAAAATGCATTTTTATCCTAATCAATCCACTCCAGGCCCAATCTAATCTCGTGTCAAACGTGGGAATGACATGTATTTATTTTTTCTTGTCCTGTTCTGCCTTGTGTGCCAAATGCACATTTAAAAAGAACAAATTACGATTTTCGTTTTTGTGGTTTACAATCTATTTTTACTTTCATCCTTGGATTAATTCCTATCTTTAAAAGTACAAAGGATCAAAACAGTAAAGAATTGAAAACTACAAGGAGTTAAATTATTATTTTTTTCTAATTTTTATTACAGTTTTTATAGATTTGTTAATAACCCAATTTTTTTTTATCTTTTATTCTACATACTTTAAAAAATTGAACTTTTTTTGTACATATACTTTAATGTAATTTTTACGGATTTCTTGATAATCCAATTTTTATTTTTTAATATACTTACTTTTCAATTAACTTTTTTTTTAAATTTCTATTTTATGTATTTTTATACAATTTTTAAGGATTTCTTGATAACAAAAAGAGGTTTTATGAAGTTTCTTCATACATTTAGACGTTGTTGGTGATGGTTGGAGTAAAACCCAGTTGGGAGTTTTGCAAGTTTTGCAGGCAAGATCAGGGGTAATCAACTTCGGCAAATCCCACGATTTTGGTCACAAAGGAGGTCGCATAACTTCCTGAGTTCCGATTTTTTTCAGTTTCCTTTCATGTTTATTTTGGAAACCCTGTGTAGTTGTTATTGATGTTTTCGTAAGTTTATAATTGGTTTTGAAGTTTGGTGTCATTTTGATGGAATTTTAATCTTTTGGTGAAACTTTGAAATCCATTCATGTTAATTTATGAATTTGGATGTTATCAAAGTTCTAAAAGATCATTTTATAAGTTTAATTGATGAAGTTTTGAGCAAAAATATGGTTTTTTTGAAAGGGAAAATTGTAGTATGATATTCATTTTAGTGAAAGACAACTGAGGATTAATGGGTTTTGAAAGCAGAGTGTGGGTATCTTGTCGTGATGGTATTCGTAAAAAAGTATTGAAAGAAGTTCACAGATTTGGTCATTCAATTCATCATGATACTAGTATAATGTATAGGAATTTGTTTTAATTCTTTTGATAACTGGTATGAATATGGTTATCGCACATATGTAGAATGATTAAAGTGTTAGTACTACGATTGAGTGGATACGGAGTATCTTCGAAGAGTTAAAGAAGTGTTAGATTAAAGCTTTGATAGAGATGTAACATTGGCATACGTAATTTCGTGGACATTTTTCTGATTCTTTGGGGTTTCAGTAAGCTTTAGCAATCATTATGCCCTTCATTTGTAGAAAAGTCTTTAATGGCAACGGCTTGGATATGTTGATGAATATGTCCAAGTGCTTACAAATTTTTTATTCTGACTCTATTGAAGTCGGTCCAGTTGCATGTGTACCTGAAGTACCAGATCCAAATGACTTATATCCTACGCCGTCTAGAAGGGTGTCGCACCTTGGCCTTCTTTATCTTAGGTTACTTCTTGTATTTATTGTCTATTATATATTGTATGGTTTAACAACAAAAGAGTCAAAATTGGCTTGAGTTTCTTTAGAGTCATGTTATTGCTCTTCTTGTTGTCCGCACATTTCATGTCTTCCTAATATGCTTTGGAGTTCATTACTGGTATCTTGGGCACTGTATCATTTCCAAAGTCGTAGGGTCAGTGTGATGTTGACAACATTGCTGTGGGAAGGAATTGACCGTTTCCATTAAAGAAGAAAGTTGAATCCGCGACATGTCGAACCCTTGGTGATCATTGATCGGCTTGGTGTGGTAGTCTATTGGTTAGATCATTCATAGAAGTTGAGTGGTTCTCAAAGTATCTTTTATGTATTTAAACTGAGAAAATGTTCGATTGTTACTGAAAAGGAGATATAGTTACCGAAGGGTAAGCAAATGGTAAATTGAACTTTGTTGAGGAACTTGAGGTGGTGTTGATTATAAAGTTAAAAAATGGAAAAAACAAAGAGAATCGTTTGGTAAAAGTTCAGTGGTATTATTACAAGGGTCAAGAGGCTATTTAAGGACCCAAATCAGAAATGATATTCATACACCCTTCACTACCAAATAGGGCATCTTTTTCGGCGGCCAAATCCGTCGGAAATCTTATTTTCCGGCGGATACGACGGGCTGAAAATATGACGCCGGTGATTATTTTTCCGGCGGATTCCGGCCGCCGGAAAATTTTCACCGGTTTTATTTAAAACATCTTCATTAAATTAAGAAAATATTTAAGTGTTTTTTTAAATGGATTAATTTACCGGCGGAAATCCACCAGTAACTTTATCCGTCGGAAAAAATAATTTAAGAAATATATATATATATATATATATATATATACATGATACATATACACATTCATACATACATATATATATATATATATAGATACATATACACTTACCGATAGGAAAAGGAGGTGGTCGGCGGCCGGAAGGAAATTGTTTGGCCGGAAGGAAATCGTTTTTGGGTTATGTTTGCAAGTGGCGGCTGTCGAATGAGGGAGATACGATTTTTATTTCTGTTGTTATTACCGGCGGATTTGTTCGCCGAAAACTTTTTAAAATTTTTTTTTAAAAATTAACCGGTTTTTGTGAAATTTTTGATTTTCCGCGGACAAATTCGCCAGTAAGCCACCGGTTTTTTAGTTTACTATTACTATTATTATTTTTAAAATTATTATTATTATTACCACTAAAATTATTATTATTATTACTATTAACATTATTATATATTTTTAAAATTATTATATATTTTTAAAATTATTATTATTATTAAAATTATTATATTTCTAAAATATTGTTTATTGATCCGTTAAAACTCAATACGATCCATTAAATCTCAATACGGTCCATTAAAGCCAATCGGTCCATTAAAGCCCAATACAGTCCATTAAAGTCCACTACGATCCATTAAAGCCTAATCGGTCAATTAAAGCCCAATACGGTCCATTAAAGCCAAATATGGTTCATTAAAGCCAAATACGGTCCATAAAAATTCAATACGGTCCATTAAAGCCCAATAAGGTCCATTAAAGCCCAATTGGTCCATTAAAGCCCAATTGGTCCATTAAAACCCAATATGGTTCATTAAAGCCCAATACAGTCTATTAAAGGCTAATACAGTCTATTAAAGGCCAATACGATCCATTCAAGCTCAATACGGTCCATTAAAGCCCAATACGATCCATTAAACTACAACTAACATCCATTAAAGCCCAATAGAACCTTTAAACCCCAATACGGTCCATTAAAACCCAATAGAACCGTTCAATCCCAATATGATCCATTAAAGTGCAACTAACATCCATTAAAGTCCAATAGAACCTGTAAAGCACGATACGATCCATTAAAGACTAATACGATATATTAAAGACCAATCGGTCCATTAAAACCCAATACGGTCTATTAAAGCCCAACACGATCCATTAAAACGGGATACGATACATTAAAGTTCAATAGAGCCGTTAAAGTTCAATACGATCCATTAAAGCCTAACTTTCATCCACTAAAGCCCAATAGAATCTTTAAAGCTCAGTACGATCCATTAAAGCCCAATCGATCCATAAAAAACCAATATGGTTCATTAAAACCCAATACGATCCATTAAACCACAACTAACATCCACTAAAGCTCAATATGACGCGTTAAAGCCCAATACAATCCGTTAAAGCCCACTCGGTCCGTTAAAGCCCACTCGGTCCATTAAAACCCAATACGATCCATTAAATCACAACTAACATTCACTAAAGCGCAATATGATGCGTTAATGCCCAATAGAACCGTTAAAGCCCAATACAATCCATTAAAGACCAATACGATCCATTAAAGCCCAGTCGGTCCATTAAACCACAACTAACATCCACTAAAGCCTAATATGATGCGTTAAAGCCAATAGAACTGTTAAAGCCCAAAATGATCCATTAAAACCCAATACGATCCATTAAAGCCCAATAGGTCCATTAAAACTCAATATGGTCCATTAAAGCCCAATATGATACATTAAACCACAACTAATATCCACTAAATCCCAATACGATGTGTTAAAGCCAATAGAACCGTTAAAGACCAATACGATCCATTAAAGTCCAACTAACATCCACTAAAGCCCAATAGAACCGTTAAAGCTCAATACGATCCATTAAGAAAAAAAAAATATAAATGGGAAAAAAATGAAAAGCCGGCGAAAATCATTAATTTTTTTTAAATCTTGAATAATTATTACCGGCAGATTACCGGCGGCCCTCCGGAATCCGCTAGAAAATTAAAAAAAAAATTTAAAATTAAAAAAAAAAATTTAATTTTTAATTACTTTCCGGCGGATCTTAATTTTAAAAATTAATTAAATATCCGTCGGAAATCCGCCGGTAACTTATTGTAATTTAAACTATCAAAATAATTTTACCGGCGGATTTCCGGCGGAAGTCAACAAAAGTTGACTATTTTGTTGTTCGCCGGTAATCTACCGGTAAATTTCCGACGGATTTCTTCCGCCGGAAATACCCAGTTTTCTAGTAGTGCTTGTTTGTTTGACTGATTGAATTCCGAGACGGAATTTCGTTAATAGGAAGATGTTGTAATACCTTGGATGTTTTATTTAAAGAAAGATTTGAAAGTTTAGGACCCTTATGTGCTATTATCCTATAGTTCAGGGTGTGATTTGGAACTTTGGAGTATGAAAACCAACCACCACTGCGCCTCACTCATTTCCCATACATGAGATTACTTCTTTGTTTTGTTTCCATCCAGAATTTCGTGGTCCGCAAAT